CGATCCGGCGGCAGTTCTTTCCTTCGGTCGCACGATTCACGCCTTCCTCTGGTTCCAGCAACGTCCTTCCGGCTCCGCTTTACGCCAGCGTCCAACGTCATCATGCGCCCGTCTCGCCCGTCTCGCCGGCAGCCGCTCAGATGTCTCCTCCTTTCTGGCCACCGCCGTCCTGCTGTGCCGATGTTTTGTTGCCGCTGCCGCCGCCGTTGTCCACCACACTAGGCAGGGTGCCCCGCACCCTACTAAGGGTGGGTACCCATTTATCTACTTGCAACTAATTGTTTTCGAACCGCTGGGTGGGCGGGAGCTGGGATATAGGTCGAGAGCTCACCTCGACCGCGGTGGTGCTCGAACAGCCATAGTGGCTGCCGAGCGATGTTACTTAGTGCAGGCGTTTTACTGCCTGCGCCACCGCTCCTGAATTCTCTCAGCCCCACCCACCTCACAGGGTGTCTGTTGTGGGGAGGGGAAGGGAAAGGAGTTTGTAAGCCGCTCTGAGACTCCAAGTGAAGGGCGGGGTATAAATCCAATCTCTTCTTCTCTTCTTTTCTCTTCTCTTCTTCAATAGATAGGGGACTAAAACAGCACCCATTAAAGCTACAATGTGTCTTCCAGTTGCATAGTCAGAAGTGACATCACTGTGTCATGGGATGCTCTAGGATCCACTTGAAACTCGATGGTTTTCACAATACAATTTAAAGTGATTTATAGAGCATTCCGTGGTGCAGTGATGTCACTTCTGGTCATGCAGCTGGAAGAATTGTGGCATTGATGGATATCATTTGGGTAAGTCCCACCCTTCTCCTCGATCTCCGAGGATACCTGGGAACCCTCGTTCTGATGTCACACAAAACCATATTTAAATTAAACTAATTACTGTTAATGTGATCATTTAAACTATAGTTAATTAGAGGCCAGCAAGCCAGTGCTTGAAGTTGGTCTTAACTATGCTGTCATATGAGTTACAGATGAGGTCATCTTGGCTTATTCTTGACTTATTCTGGCACTACCATTGCTACAGTGCAGGCTGGGATACCAACTGACTCTCTGTAGGGGAAACACCAGGAAAGAAAACAAGGAAACTGGCACTTTTTAAGGCAGATCAGAATTTAAATAGTCAACTGTGAGTTGAATTTTGTTTCACAAGCTTACCATAACTGAAATAATCCATGATTTTGTGTTCTATCTCAATTCAGCCAATATGAACCAAGGCAATAACATCCTGGGAAACGCATTCTTTTCTTTGGCAAAAATGCATACATTACTGTCAAAACATTGTAGTATTAGCAAACATATAATTTGGCTGGTTTTCTAGAAGCAATTTGTGGCTCTGCAGTGTCCATACAATATTGTTCCAAGTCACAGAATACCAAGATGAATATTTTTTTTTTTTAAAAAAATCCAGTTTCTAGCCTTCATGATTGTGCGATATGTATAGATAGATTTTACTGGACTGCTTGGATCAAACATCAACGGAACCTGGTCAGTTTACAAGGCATCAAAGAAATAAGCATGTATAAATAAAAGCCTTAAGCCACTGGGAAGATGCAAATTTCAGTTAATGAATGATTTCCTTTCCTGGACATATATACTAGTTTCCTTGCATGATTGTCACTCTCTTTCCATCACACATTCTTGATTATCCTGGGATATGTTATGTGGTCAGATTCCTCTTTGCCAAGAAGAGAGAAGGCATAAATTTGCTTGCACAGTTTCTTCAAGGCAGAAGGAAAAGTTTGATTTTTGAGGGCAGGGGAATGCAGACTTCAACAATCTTTTGGAAACAGCTGCCAAACCCCCCTCTCAAAAAAGCCAGAGTAGTCCACAAGCAATATTTGTGTTCAGTCCCCAAGAGCTGGATCCTACCCTCACCATCTCCTTGTCAGAAAATACTGCAAATAGGAAAGCCGCTTTTCATTAGTGCTTGACATTCTTTTATGTAGTCTGATTGTCAACACAAAAGGAGAGTAATTAAACTGCAGCTCCAATCCAGGCTAACAGATGAGGCTCTCCCTCAAAGCTTTTGCCACACAACTAAATTGTTACTATAAGAAATCAACATCTAATCTATTCACTTCAAAGAAGACCCATATGCCTCTCACTTATTCAAACTACAAGGATCATGGGGGGAGGGGGTAAAAAAGATCTATTTAATGAAAGAAATTGGATGAAAGGAATGCACCATTTACACCTTATGTTTGGATGGAATAAAATTACTAATGAAATTAAATATTTAAGGGGGTGAGGAATACCCAGAGTAGCTGGGTATTTAGTATAGAATAACCTTGAGAGTCGAGGAAACTGTAAACACACTGAATTGCTTCAAGAAAACTAGAGTGAGAACCAAACGGATGCAAAACACAGCATCTCTAAATGTGTCTGAATTTTGCCGAGAAATTGCTTCCCATAAGCACCCTCTACCACAACCTGCCCATGAACATCCCTAGAGTTTGAAAACCTTTTCTGGAGACTTGTTGCTGTAGTGTGTAGTGCTTACATTGCTGGACTAGGAAGGCCCAGGCTCAAATCTGGACTCATTCCTAAAGTTCACTGGGTGATCTTGGCCCTTTAACTATTTCTTACCCTAATTTTCCTCACAGGGTGGTTGTGAAGACTGAGAGGAGGAGGAGGAGGAGGAGGAGGAGGAGGAGGAGAGGCGCAGGATAAAAATGTGGTTGATAAGTGGGACAACAAACACTGGCATCAGGGCTAGTTAGCTATAGGGATGCCAGGAAATACCTTTGCTTGACTCCTTTTCATTTTCATATTGTCATTGTGAGCCTTTTTGTATCTCCCATATTTCAGTGCTGATGTTCCTGATTCTCTTGTTTCTTTGATAGCATTTTTTGCCATTATACTCCATGGATACAAAAATAAAGGTGCTCATCTGTTTTAGTGGTAAGATTTCTAGCAAATTTTTGTCAGTAGAGTCTAGGGGAGAAATATTTTATCCAGAAAAAAACAAACAAACCATCCTAAACGATGAGAATCCATGTCAGAAACTTTCTAATCTAAACCGTATGTTCATAAAATCCAGTCACATTGCTAGTTTCAAATGTTAGATCTGATCCCTAGCACAACTCCAAAAAACCCCAAAACCCTGTCAGTCAGCACCATCTTACTTGGATGTCCTTTAAGGAGGCCTTTCCCTATACTTCATGTAAGAGGAAAATCACACCCTGAGATTCAAGAAAGGTTATAGAATATGAAAAGATAATGTATGAAGCAGCTCACAGAAACCACTCCAAAGTACCTTCACTTGTCTGAAAAATGTCAAGTGTAAATTCTGTTCCACTGAAAAGATTGATCTAAAATGACCTTTTGGGCAGTGGTAGCTGGGAATCTTTATACAACTTCGCTCATTCTTTCCACACAATGCCTGGGATTGAAAGGGTCATTTAGCCTCATTCTAGGGGATTATGCTAGGCTAGTGTAATTTTGATTTACTTCCTTTGAATAGCTGACCCCACCAAGCTATAGCACAACATGTTTTGAAGTTCAAAAGCAGGTTGCCCTGCAACCCAGGGCAGGGTGGATTGGCAACTGCTTTCTGATTTGTATGATAAAATCAAGTAAAATCCTAATCTTGGACACAGGAAACACATTTCAAGGCCTTTGGATCCCTGTGTTTATTTGCCACATGAGACATACAGTGCCTAATTCTTCAGAACTAAAACTAATGCAGACAGTCAAATTCTAGTTAAGGGAGACCTCAGTCCAGTCTACCGATCTTCTTGCTAGGGTCTTTCAATGTATCTGAAGGAGTGTGCATGCACACCGAAAGCTTATACCTTGAATACAACTTTGTTGGTCTTAAAGGTGCCACTGGACTCGAACATTGCTCTGCTGCTTCAGACCAACACGCTACCCACCTGAATAGATCTTGCTAGTTTACTTGGCTGGGGAATGAAGAGGCGGCCTATTGCGCCACCTAATGGATAAGACTAAACCTGCGGCATTATCTAGATGGGAGCAAAATATTTTGCTCATGAATGACTCTGAAAGCTGACGGCGGCTTCTGCTCCTCCTCCTCTTTCCTCCTCTCTGTCCTCCTGGACTCATTTGAGAGCAAACTTGTGGAGCAGCTAGATGTGTGTCACAGGGACCAAAAACTCACCTGAAATTCTTGGATAAACTCTTCTGGACAAGATTAGCCTTCGTATTCCATTGGGGCAGGAGGAAAAAATCATTCGGCCAAGGAGTTTTTAAGAAGAAAGGTACGAGTTAGAGGTAAGAAGATAGAATTCCTTTGCAACTGGGAAAGGGATGTGTAGCAAATATGAGCACCATGTATGTGTGTGTATGTGTGTGTGTGTGCATAATTGTTGGCTGTTTGGGGGACAGGTGACGTGGTCCTTATTGCCTTTATCTGCATGAAGGTTTTTTTAAAAAATATGAAGACGCTGGAACAAACACTGCACCTCCGCAGGGACTCAGACAGCCAATGAGAAAGGCTTCAGCACTGTTTTAAAGTAAACTGGGATGAAGCGTGGAAATGAATGAAACCTCCTCTGTGAATGAGTGCCTAGTAAAAAAAAAAGTGCTATTTCGAGAAGGATGATCAGGATGAGTGGTAGCATGGTTTTCCAGTAAAACCCCTTGCCTTGTTTTTCTGTGATTGGAGCAGGAGTCCAGGAGGAACGCCTTTAAGATGTTGGGATGATAACAGCATGGAGCTGGATGCAGAGACCTTTCCTGCATCCGACCTTCATCAGGACAGCTAAGTCTGCAGAAGAAAGGTGGGAGCTCAAAACTCAGCTGTCCTTACAGGTGAAACACAAGTGAATAGCACAAGCCCCGGAGTGTGTGGACTGGATAAAAAAGTAAATGAGGCAAGACTCCAAATGGGACTAAAGGGCATTCCAGAAAAAGGAAAGAGGAACTGAAAGGCCTGGTCCCCAGAGGGGAGAGGCTGTAAAGAGGACTGCAGTGCACTGAAAGAGGCTCCCATATCTCAGACCCCCACCTAGCCAAAGGCACTGGATGGAAAGGAGTCTGCAATGGATTCTCCATGCTTCCTGGGCAATGACCTGTACTCCTATTATAACTTCTCCCTGAGCAACCCCACCTTGGAGAATCAGACGTGTCAGACAAACAGAACCAAACAGATAAGGAATGAGGAAGTTGCCAAAGTGGAGGTGGCTGTGCTCTGCCTCATCTTCTTCCTTGCCCTTACTGGGAACCTGTGTGTGCTGTTGGCCATCCGCACGACCCGTCACAAACACTCCCGCATGTACTTCTTCATGAAGCACCTGAGCATTGCTGACCTGGCTGTGGCCATCTTCCAGGTCTTGCCTCAACTCATTTGGGACATCACGTTCCGGTTCTATGGGCCAGATTACCTCTGCAGGCTGATCAAATACATGCAGGTGGTGGGGATGTTTGCTTCGACTTACATGCTCTTGTTGATGTCCCTGGATCGGTGCTTGGCTATCTGTCAGCCCTTGAGATCCTTACACAGGAGGTCTGACCGGTTGTCTGTCCTCCTCACTTGGATGGTGTGCCTCCTGTTCAGCATCCCCCAGCTCCAGATATTTTCCATGAGGGATGTGGGCAACGGGGAGATTGACTGCTGGGCAAAGTTCATCCAACCCTGGGGCTCTAAAGCTTACATCACCTGGATAACCTTGACTGTGTACATCATCCCTGTGCTCATGCTGAGCGTCTGCTATGGGTTGATCAGCTTCAAAATCTGGCAGAACGTGAAGCTGAAAACAATCCATGAGACCAACACAAATCTGACCTCTGGCCATCCTCACAGGGGCACCCTCTCCAGAGTCAGCAGCGTGAAACTCATTTCCAAAGCAAAGATCCGGACTGTGAAAATGACCTTCATCATAGTCTTAGCTTTCATTATGTGCTGGACTCCTTTTTTCATTGTGCAGATGTGGATTGCTTGGGACGAGGATGCTCCAAAAGAAGGTACAGTAAGCTCCTTTTCCTTTCCTGTATCTATACCAACTTCATGCCTTAAATGCAGAGAATTGCCACACAATAATTTCTTTAAAATACGGATGTATTTCTGCCTTATCAGGACAGTTCATTTGCACTGTAAGAGATAACAGCAATGTAAAGATCTAATAGATATTTCATATGTATAATTATTTAAGGTGGTGCAGCTAGATCTGAGTTCAGTAGCACCTCAGAGACCTACAAGATTCTGATGCAGACCGACATGACCACCCTCTGATACTATTTTTAAGTGGCGAGAGTAGAAGATCACTTCCTAGCATAATGAGGTGGAAGAAAGATGAGATGTGGATTTTGACATTTTGGGAATTACTTATTTGACCTTGGTCAAGTTATCTGGTGCCTTCTTTCCCTTACTGCCTTGTCTGTAGAATGGGATGCTTGGATGTTCCAGAAATGGCGTTCTAGGACAGAGAGGTAAGTAAGGAGTAAAGAAAATGCACACGCAGGCATCTAGAATACTAGAGATCTGTTTCCCTTATGGTGGCACTTTCTGTGTGCTTGTTGTGTCAGAGGAAAGTTTCCTTGTGCCAGAGGAAAGCACTACCTCTCATGGAACAGAATGGCAGGGTCTAGCCTTATGTTATTACATATACAGCTTCAGAAAAGTCTCTCTGGGTCAGTCCTGAAGAGATACTTGACCAAGTGACGATATTGTTGAATTTCTTAATGTTGGGACTCAGTGAGGGAGCCAGAGGAATTTTGTGAATGGGTGGCCAGGTTGTCAGCAGTGACTGGTGAATTCAGAGCTGATTAGAAGGCTAGCAACGAGCTGTTTTCCAGGTCAAGGACTGGGATTGCTGCATGGGTCTTAAATAAAGACAAATGTATAGCAATGGCCATTCTTCAGTAAAAAGTGTAGTTGCCGTTGGTCCAGTTCTCTTCTGCTTGCAAGCTTGTTTCCAACTTGTTCATAATGGGGAGGTTTAAGTTCTCTTCTAGCATGCGGACACATGTTGGGCATAACTCACTGAGAGAATATGAGTAGTTTCCTTTATATTTAACTTTTACATTGGCTCCCTAAGTCATGGAGAAGACTTGTTCCAAGCTTGCCCCTCTGAAAAATCAGTGCCAGTGGCACATGGCTAACTGGTCAAATGCGTCTCATCCCAGAGGAGTCTTTTCAGTTCTCAGTTCCGAATGAGAGAAGCCAAGGCAAAAGTCTGTGTTAGCATTGTAAAGCACTAGTTTTTACTTATGTAGTTTGAGGTTACTTCTCCAACCTCCTAGCCTTCAGCATATAGCATGCAGGTTTTGGCAAGCAAAGTCAATCCTGCAGAGCAAGAGCTTGAAGCTGTGGGGTTCACACATGCAGGCTTATTACTTAATGAGTGTGTAACATCATGGGGTGGCTGTCGTGTGTGAATGAACCACCACAGATCAAATGCCACAAACGGAAATTTCATATCATACTAGGGTTGCCAGGTCCCCCTGGCTGATGGTGGGAGTTGGGGGGGGGTAGGGTTGCCAGCTCCAGGTTGGGAAACTCCAGGAGATTTGGGGTTGGAGCCTGAGCAGGAGCCTGCCATAGCGCACCCTTCAAAGCATCAATTTTCTCCAGGGGAAATGATCTCTGTAGTCGAGAAATGACCTCTAATTCCAGAGGACCCCTGGTCCTGGGTCCCACCTGTAAGCTGTCATTCCTACATCATACCTTACACACCCAGCCACCTCTCACTGTATTTTTATGGACACTGCAGTCTGGTGACCAGAAATTTGTTGTGCTTTATAGTCCGAAATCTTTCATGGGAAGCCAGGATTTGTAATAAAATTATTGTTTCTTAGTACTAATAAGGACTTCAGAGTCAGGGGGAAATGTAGGCATGTATATAATGCTGTAGGCATTTGGGGTTGGAGCCTGGGCAGGAGCCTGCCATAGCACACCCTTCAAAGCATCAATTTTCTCCAGGGGAAATGATCTCTGTAGTGCCTACAGCATTATATACATATACCACCCAAACAACATTAAAATGATGTATAAATCTATCTGTAGATATAAATGCACCATGGCCACCTCTCATATGTTTATCTTGCTTGCAAATGGAATGGTGGGTGAAATATTTAACACTGATAAAAATTTGGAACCCTATGCTATTTTTTAAAAAAAAATTGGATCTGGGCCACAGGTAACTAATTGCCCATTTCTAGACTAGGAGGATCCACCATGTTCCTTCCTGTCCTATTTTTATAAGCTTAGTAACTGCTATCATTGACACAGCATAGCCATATACCAGGAATTCTTGCGTGCCTCATTACATAGGTCCAAGTTAGGCATGACTGGCAACTATACGCATCCCTTCCTTCCTTCCTTCCTTCCTTCCTTCCTTCCTTCCTTCCTTCCTTCCTACCTACCTACCTACCTACCTACCTACCTACCTACCTACCTGAGTGTTTAACACTTTCTCATCCTACCATTTTCAGTTCAAAAGTATCCCAATAACATGTTTTCTGGAGGAGAGAGGGACCAATGACTCTTATGCCATGTCTGGTTTGGTTCTAATAATCAGTGCACACAAGTGGTTAATGGGTTTAGATGTCAGAAACCCAGGGTCAAGCCCTTGCTGAGCAATTGCATTCACTGAGGAGAGGCCTCAGGCAAGTCACTACTTCTCAGCAGAGCCTACCTCACAGGATCGCTACAAGGATACAAATGAGATTGACCTAGGTATACCATGCCATAGATATCATAAACCACAATATAAATGTGATGAAATAAGACACAGTAAGATATATATGTGATGAAATAAATACAGGACACACCTTTGTCGAAGCATGAAATGACAATCCACTGATCCTTCTCTCCTTCTTCACTCAGGAATCCCATGTATTTCCCTTTGCTGCAGACAGTAAAAGGTCCCATGTCAGTGGCACTCCAGGCATAGGAAATCCAGTGACTGCAACTATTTTTCTGCCCAAGCATAGCATGAGACAATGCAGGCTGGGGTTCACACCAGACAGATATTTTATTTATTTATTTATTTACACATTTATACTCTGCTTTTTGTCCCAACCTGCCAACCTAGCTGTTCGAAAGCAAGAAATTACAAGTAGATAAATAGGTACCACTTCAGTGGGAAGGTAACAGCGTTCCGTGCGCCTTGGTTTTTAGTCATGCCGGCCACATGACCACGGAAACGTCTTCGGACAGAGCTGGCTCTTCAGCTTTGAAACGGAGATGAGCACCGCAACCCTAGAGTCGGATTCGACTGGCGTTCGAGCAAGGGAACCTTTACCTTTACCTTTTGTCCCAATGGAACCCCAAATGGATTACAACATCATGCTTTTTGCCTCCATTTTATCCTCTCATCAACAACCCTGTGAGTCACTGGCCTCCAGCAAGCTTCTGCAGTTGAGCGAGGATTTGAACCTAACTGTCCCAGGTCTTTGTCCTACACTCTGTCCACTTAGGGTTGCCAGGTGTCCCCTAGCCACTGACAGGCGATGGAGGGGAGTAGGGTTGCCAGAACCAGGTTGGGACACTCCTGGAGATTTGGGGATGGAGTCTGGGGAGTACAGGTGTCTCAGTGGGGCACGCCATAGATTCCACCCTTCAAAGCATCCATTTTCTCCAGGGGAACTGATCTCTGTAGTCGGGAGATGAGTGGTCCTACCTGGAGGCTGGCATCCCTACAGCATGCCAATGCTTAATAGAATGTTGACAAATCTGTGAACTGGTCTTCAGCATTGTTTTTATTGTTCAATAGCAGTTGTGGGTGCCCCAACTTGTATTGCTGCTACACCAGAAGGCGGGGAAGGGATTTAACTAATCTAACCACACATTGTTTCCCTGAGAACCTTTCCCTTGAAGCTTCTATTTATCTCGGGGGGGAGGGGGATGGAATGTTCAGTGTGCAGTGCATGCTGGTAGAGATTAGGAAAATTGTGGGCTTCCAAATCCTACGTAACAATCAAAAACATGTTGGAGACCCATTCATAACCTCTTCTTTTGTCTTTTTTTCAGTTTAGTTCTTTACTTGCTGCTGAAAATGGTTCAGTTGGTGGGACAGACATAGCCCCATCCACTCTAATCCACACATCACCTTGGCCACACTGGGCAACTGCATGTCATGGTTGGGTAACTCTGCATATGGACATGTGATGATTCAGTGTTATGTTTGTGGAATAGTTGTGAAAATGTAGGATTAAGATGTGGGAGACCCATGTTTCAATGCAACGTTGTAATGGAAGCCCTCGAGGTGATGCTTGGTCAGTCATAGAATCATAGAGTTGGAAGGGACCTCCAGGGTCATCCAGTCCAACCCTCTGCACAATGCAGGAAATTCACAAATACCTCCCTACCACCACCATCAGCCCTTGTTTCATGCCCAGAAGATGACAAAACACCTCCAGGATCCCCGGCCAAACTCTCTCTCAGCCTAAGCTACCTCAGAGTAGTGTTGTTGAAAAGATAAAATGGAGGAGGGAAGACTGATGTTGTAAGCTGGTTTGGGTTTTCATTGGGGATAAAAGTGGGGTATAAATATCTACATAAAATAAATACATAAGCATATTTGCACTTAAACCAGTTTAGGCCCACCCAAATTAATACATCTTTGCCTTTTCATGTAATTATTAGTTCTCAGCATTTAGGGGCATATGACTTACTGTACTTTTATATGATAACTGTAAATAAATAGATACATTGTTGCATAGGGTTGCCAGCTCTGGGTTGGGAAAAACCTGAACACTTTGGGTGGAGCCTGAGGAGCAGAGCCTACCTCACAGGATCGCTACAAGGATACAAATGAGATTGACCTAGGTATACCATGCCATAGATATCATGGGGATGGGGGTATAATATCAGGGCATACCACCATAGAGTCCACCCTCCAAAGCAGCCATTTTCTCCAGGGGAACTGATCTTGGTCTTCAGGAGATCAACCGTAATAGTGGAAGATCTCCAGGTGCCACCTGGAGGTTGGCAATCATAACTAATTGTACCTCATCTTCTG